TCTATAATTGGAGATCAATTAGTCCCCGACTCATCCCTAACGGGTACTTTTTAACGATTTAATGATATGTGCGCACTTAGTCAATGAAATTTCATGTGCGGCGTTGGCACACAGAGAGAGTATTCGCCTAACAAAACTGAGCANTTCTTCTTGCTCGCATCAGCACCGCCGACGACGACGACGACGACGACGCTATTCATTAGTGGCAAAAGTGGGTGTGGTTTTTGGTGGTTGCCGTTTCGCTGTTGTTTTTCTGTTTTGCCGCCAGCAGCAGCGGCACCGTTGGCGACGACGTTTTGTCTCATTCAATTGCATGCTTCATATTGCATTGACGTTGTTTTTTGTTGGTTTGTTTTGTTTTTGTATGTAGTTGTATAGATATTCTTGCATTTTATAGCCGTTTGATTGTTTTTTTTCCTTCGGTTGCTTAGCTGTGCTTTGGCATTTGCACGTTTGATTTGTTTGGTAGGTAGCTTTTGCCATTCCTTGCTGCGCCTGCCGCTAAGGCAGAAATTGGCGTTTTTCTCCTGTGGCGCCACATTGCATCGTTTCCTCTTATTTCCTTCAAGCACACACGCTCCTAAATCTTATTTCATTTTTTTCTAACTATGTATGTACTTCAAATGAAAATGTCCTCATGTAGTGCAGATTATTCGCTTGCTTTAGCTGCTGCCACTCCACTGCCACTTCGATGGTGTTGTTGTCACACTTGTAGAAAGCGTTTGATTGAAGGCTATCTAGTTGCTGGTTCATGGCACTTTGTCTCTTTTATTTTCCGTTTGGTATTATTGGCATAAAGAAGACTTTATTGAAATCTAAGTCGTAAATGGCAAAATGTTTTTTCATAGTTTTAATTAGTTGGCAGTGCTTGGACACAAGGAGCTTATTGGGCAAACGCATTGAAAAAGTTGAAACCTCAGATACTTGTTTACGCCTAAATAAAAATAAGACATTCAAATAAACTACTAACAAGCTCGCTTGTAGACCAAATAAATACTTCGAAAGATTTTTTTTGACTCAAATTCAGTTTCATCTTTGAACAGGTCAATTGCGTTTAAGATAGTTGGAAGCAGTGTTGCCGTTGAGAATTTTTAGGAAGTCTCAAAAAGGGGTCATCGACGAAAAAAACGGTCACCATATTATTTTTAACCGACTTCAAAAAAAGGAGGAGGTTATCAATTCGTAGGAATATATTTTATTTATGTATGTAACCGCAAAGTATGCCGATTTCTATAATTCTATAATTTCTTAAAGGAAAGTTGGTAGCTCAGAGGTGGCCCCATACTAATCTGGTTTCGATACGATAATTGGATCATGAAGAACTTAACGGTAGTCTTACATTTTTATATGAGAATTGAAGTCGGTTTTGTTTTTTACACACAAAAATATAGTCGCTACATGGAGAAGAGTTGAATTTTAAGTGATGTATTTTTTCGTACTTACAGGAGAAAATAATTTGAATAGCAGGTTTTGTTAATAAAAATCTCTGAAAAGGGCGAAAAGTCGCCCATAATGTTGGAAAAGGGTCAAAATATCTAAATTTTCAAAAAGTTGGGTCGAATTGCCCCTTTAGTTGCACAACGGCAGCACTGGTTAGAAGTCTTTTATTAGAGAATTGCAGAACGGTAGGCAAGTTAGTTTGAAAGATTTTTTTTATTTTGGCACAGAAGTCTTGCAAAAAACCTTCCTTGCCAACTTTCGTAGTGAAAAGCTCTTTTTAGAGAAAGCACTTGAGCTTATAACTCGAGATGTATGGTACTTATATCACTTTACTTGCGCTCCACCAACAACCATAGCCGAGTAAGTAAAGCACTGGCGCGGCATTCAAGATATCCGAGGTTCGAATCTTCGGTGAGCGGATTTTTTTTTATTTATTTTGACGTAGAATTCGTTTTACGTTTCGATATGGAGGTTATGCTCAAATTTTGTTGTTGTAATTTTTAAAGCTTTACGAAAACGCTTACTGCACGAGAACTAATGAAGCGATTTGAAAGAAAAGTAGGGCGTTTCAAATATATAGTTCCAAACCTATCGACAGATTCATTTTTGTAAGTAAACAATTCGGTTTCTGTCGTAGGAACAACGGTAAATATTGGCTTGTTTTAAAGCCAATTTCGAGCCTTTAAAGTGCTCTAGCAGTTTACGATTTGCAGATTAAACTTTCACTTTCGGGATATAGGTTCTTTGGAGCAATAGAAATATTATAGAGTATAAATTTTATATAAACTCAACAATTATTCAGAATTTTAATGCAAAAATTTTTTGAAAAAATTTGCAAATTTTTACTTCAAAAATGCTCGAAAACCGCTCAAATGATATTGTTTTTGTTTTCTTTAATCAAAAATTCTGGGGACTATTTCGTAATTTTAGAGATTTTCGGAATTCTCGGGACTTATCGATATAATAATCGATATTTTGTCGCTTTTTATCGACATAACCAACGATATTTTTTACCGATTTTGTTGTTGATATTTTAATCGATTTCGTATCGATTATGTAATCGTTTTTTGTTTATAGATGTTGTGATCGATTTTGTTATCGATATTTCTGTCGATTTTGTTATCGATATTTTTATCGATTTTGTTACCGATTTTGCTATCTATATTATTAACGATTTTATTATCAATATTTTAATCGATTTTGCTATCGATGTTTTTATCGGTTTTACTAACGATATTATTATCGTTTTTGTTATCGATATTTTTTTCTTAGTGTGTGCTTTTGTTTTTGACTTGGATGTGCTCTTAACCATACCACGTATTCTACGTTTAAGTTTAGCGGCTGTGTCCGATACATCCTGCGGACCAAGACGAAGGCGCTGGACTGTTCCTTTTTTATTTAGTTTATGATATCTTTGTTTAATTTTATCTTATTTTATTATAAATATCTTTTTACTTAAAAATAAAAATCTATTTTTAAAATTGATTTTTTTTCCATTCAAGTTAACTTTATTTTAATTTTTAGATTGTATTTTTTGAAAAGTTGTTGGGATCCACAACGGTGTCGTAACTGTCGTATTGTTGTATGTCGTAAACTTTAAACGTAAAAAAAATATAGTAAGGGTGTTTGGAAAATACCACCAAAGTCATATTATGAATTCTCGCAGTGTTAAAAAATAGTTGGTTGTGGTTTCAGGTTTTATAAACATTTATTTAAGCGTTTAAAGTTGACGATATACAACAACACGACATTTACGACACCGTTGTGAATCCCTCAATTATTGTTATCTATTCATCACATTTCTCGAGAATTTTTTTTGTAATTTTTTTCCATCCCTGATTTAGATTTGTTTTTGTTTTGAGATCTAAAAAGAATAATATTTGTACCACATTTAATTTTGTCTATTTTTAATTTACTTTTTTTCTTATTTTTGTAGTTGAAGTGTTTGTTTATTTATTTTTTTTTTGTTTTTTTTTTAATGATTTGTTTTTGTTTTAGCCATCTTAGTAATTTTTAGATTTTGTTGCCTTGAATTTTTATTTTTTCTCATTTAGTTATGAGAAATTTATTTTGTAAATTGTTATTTTTATTTTAATAAATGTTTATTTAAATTAAGTTTTCTTTTAATTTTTAATTTTATTTTTTTTTTAAGAAAGTCTTTAAAAACATAGAAAAGAGCCTTCGAGTTAGTTTCCAAAATTGACAATTGTCTCACGAAATACTTATGTATGCCTTTTGAAAGACTGTGGTAAGTTGAAAGACCACTTGTTAGAATCTCCCTGTTAGAGTTCACAAGCTGAAAGGGTGAATTAAAGTTATTGAAAATACAAAGGCATCTCCAGAGACAAAATCTATTAAACATTTGGAATAATAATAAATAAATGTTTTAAGAAAATATAAAAAGGTAAAATTCCTGCGAAATGCGAATGACGATGCAAGGAAAGGACATATCGTTGCAACGTTTACCACAGCTGTCATATAAACGGGCGAAAAATCCGCATAAAAGCGGCATTCTGTAATATCTCATTTTCGCCCCTTATCCGACAGAGAAGACCGACCGGTAGGTGTCCAAAGAGCTTTCGTATGAGCGATTTTGGTGCACTTCAAGCGTTAATTTGTCATCATCTTAAAAACTTATAAGGTTGGGTTAGGTTGGGCGGCAGTTCCATGTAGACTAACTAAGACTGGGGGTCCGCATTTATCACCGATTCCCTATAAAGCACTTCGTGCCCAGTAGAAAAAGCATATAAGCTTTTTACATGCATAACTTTAGTTCATCAAGGTCATCGAAGCTATAACTGCCATGAGGTAGAACCGGCAGGGTATGCGTGGAAGAGTTCTTCTCGGTCTTCGTGCATGCAGCTTCTGCTGTAGTCGTTCTAGGGTGCACCAAATCAGGCAATGTACAGAGTTCTATGATGCGCGAGTTCGTCAGCTTTATAATTTCCCTAAATGTGACAATGGCTAGCTATTCAGACAATGTGTGCACGTAATACCTCGGCCATCGCGTTAAGAGATCGGCGGTATTGAGTAACTACTTTTGAAGTCAGCGGCATATTGCCTATTAATATAATAGCAGCCGGGCTGTAGGTGAAAACGTAGATATAAAGACTAGAAATTGTATTACACTTTGAGATACCTATCAGTTCCGACAGAAAAACACTGCAGTAGTCACGGAAGCGGAATGAATGATAAACCTAATTTTTCAGAAAAAAACCCCACGCCCATTTTTTCGAGTTTGGACCCATGCGTTAAACATGAATTGATTCTCTTTCCCCGTCTGTATATAATGTTAATTTTTCGACCCATAAAATTAAAATGAAAGTCAGATTCTGATTTTATGAAAAAAATCCTAAGAGAATTGTTAATTATTAGAATTAAATAAGTATGTTGAGCTGTGTAGCCGATTGCGTCTAATTTCGGAGTATTTTTGAGGTCAAAATCAAGTTTTACGACGGCCATTGGTGAAGAAACTCAAGTTGTTGCAAATTAATAGAGCTGTGTGATCAATAAATGCAATACACTAATACATATATAGTAAAATTAAAATATTCACTTACCATGCCACGCAAAGCAAAACAAGAATATCAGTATAGTAGATAGATTTTTCCAGCTGCCAAAGTGCGACGTTGTGCGCATTGTTGTTCTCGTTGACGCCTTCGCTCCAGCTGCTGTTGCAAGTGTTAGCAAATTGCCCTTCCCCTCGTTACTATTTCTAATCACTGCGGAATGTTTGCAATCTTTTGACGCACTTTCACTTGCCACAAAATTGTCTTTACAGTCGACTGCACATGTGTGGTTATTGTTATTATTGTTTTTGTTAAGACTGTCAGTGTATGGTTGGCAATAATGTGTTGGCGTGGCACGTACGTTGGTACACGCTACCGCAGCGCCGCCAAGAGCGGGAATGTAATCAACATCTTTGCCACAACGTTGCATATTGCTGGCTACACATTTGCAACACCCACTGTCATCAGTCATTGCTGTTGGGATTGTGGCAGCTGCCAAGTTGCAAGCTACTGTCGCTACTGCTGGTGCTTTAGCTAGTGTTTTTGTTGTTGCTGTTATGTGTGGGGTAAGTTTTGTGTTGCTGGTATTGTTGTTGTTGTTGTTGCCGTAGTGTGGTGACGCGCAAATGCACTTAACTTCCGCATTTGGTGTAATTTGCATTTTGTACTCAAATTGCTTCTGCTTTTGTTGTTGTTGCTGTTGTTGTTGTCGTTCTTGCTGCTGCTGTGAGTCTTTCGCGAGTAGTTGCGCGTACATCAGCGCAAAATCACGACACTTTGTGACAACTTTGTTGTTGCAGCTGGTAGTGGTGCTGCTGCTGCTGCTGCTGCTGTTGGCCCTGTTGCGCTCGCTATAATTGCTTGCGTTGCTGTTTTTGTTGTTGTTCACGGCAGTAGTAGTGGTAGTAGTAGTAGTAGTGTGGCTGCTGTTTGCGTCCGCGAAGCTACTTGTCGTTTTAAATTGCATAATGCAAGTGATGCCCACTTGACATTAATTAAGTGCGAAGAACACGCCAGGCAGACAGATAGACAGACACACAAACGCACGCACTGCCAGCAAGGGAGATCATCAGGCTACAGCACACGCGTCAAAAGTTGCCTGAACCGCAGGCTTGCAATTTCGCTCGTTTGGATGTGTATGCGTGCACAATTTCACAATTTTTGCACTAGACAGACTAAATGTCACCAGCGGCGTTGACACTTTGTCACTTTTCACAATTTTATTTAATTTTTATAATTCCCCCGTTTTGGTTTTTTTTGTCGCTTTTCACATCACTAGCTTATGAATGCATGTATGTATGTATGTATGTATCTATGTAGTTAGCTTGTTGTAAGTTGTACAAAAATCACGGAAAAGTGTTTGTCAGCAGTTAATAGGTTATCTAATAGGGAATGTTGCACAGTTTTTTCAATACATATTTTTTTACTTATTTTTCAATTTAAAATGATTTTAAACCTAAAAAATTTGCCCGAAATTGTTTAATTTATTTATCACCGTTATGTATAATTTTGCATAAATTTCTATTCACTCGCTCACCCTGTATGTACATATAACATATGTTTTCTCTATACTCGCACGAAAATTTTTCACTTTTCGTAAATTTTTCTTCAGCCCTCAAACAAAAGATTCTTTTAATTTGCGCTCTTCCGCTAACACAAACGCGCTCCGGAACCGTCAAACGAACGACTAACCGCACGAGCAGGCACGAACACCAATTTACCGCAAGTCAGCCATGCATCCAGCTCCACGTATGGATCTTTGCTTTGAGTCTCTGGCTATTGCTTGTCGCGCCCTCAAAATGTTGCCACTTCGCTGCCTCCAGCCAGCCTCATTGCCTAACCACCCACATGCGTTCGCTTTCTTCGTTGGATGGTTTTCCTGTCTGTTGCTTGCGACTTTCAATTCGCTTGGCACGACGCCGCGTCGTCGTTGCTGGTTGCTTTATTGCTGCCAATGCCTAGCAACATGTTGTCAAGCAACTACCCATGTTGCGCTGGAAGTGATTTCAATTTCAATGTTGAGTTGTTTGTACATACATAGTGCGTATGTATGTATGTATGATTGTGTGCCTGTGTGTGTGTGTGTCGAACTTCCAGTGCGGTAATTTCAGTTGTTGAGCTGATTTCCTGCAAACAGTGTGTTATTGTTGCAGTTTTTTGATTTCGCTTTCACTTTTAGCAGGTTTATATGTATTTGTCGTTGGCGTTGTTTACGCTTTGTTTACAGTTTTATTGATAATTGGCGGCTACACGTGCAGATATTTTTGCTCTCGTTTAATTGCATCAATGGAAAGTTGGAATTTTCATTTTATTTATGCTGCTGTTTGCCTTTTGTTGTTTTCTAGTTTTCATATAAATTCTGAAAAAGATAATAAAATTAATTATTACAAAACGTTTAGGCTAGTAAATAGTTCAGTTAGCTCTAAGCTATTGCCAAAGGTGTAATATTAAAGCTTTTAAAGTGTAACTTTTCAAGCAGCGGTAGGGAATTGAAAAATGTAAATATAGATAAGGAGACAAAGATATATATAAAACTGAAGATTAAGATATTTCATATGTTTCTCGACTTACTTCAGCTCAGCTCAACTCAACTCAACTTGTATGTATGTGTGATTCAGGGATAAAAAAAGGCACAATTGTACCTTTTTTCGACGTTTAATTACTTAAAGGTACATTAGGTACAGTCACTAGATTTTAGGTAGATAAATACAATCATCTTTTGATCAGATAAATTTTTATTTTTTTTTGTTCCTTTACGCTTCGAATATATCTACTTGTAAGCACGGGAGAAGCTTCGCTTTCATAAGGAAAAAACAAAACCGATTTCAATTCTCATATAAAAATTTAAAATTATCGTTAATTTCTTCACGATCCAACTATCGGATCTAACCAAATTAGTACCCATGAAGTACCACCTTTCGGATGAAAAAAGAATTATCGAAACCGGTTAACACAGCCGCTAAATTTAAACGTGGAATACGTGGTATGGTTAAGAGCACATCCAAGTCACAAAACGAAAGCACACACTAAGAAAAAATATCGATAACAAAGTCGATGATAATATCGATAGCAATCGATATCGACAACAAAATCGATGTCAAAGTCGATTACAATACCTATACAAAAATCGGTTAAAATATCGATAACAAAATCAACAAAAATATCGTTTATTATATCCATAGCAAAATCAATAGCTATATCGATAACAATTTCGATAACAAAATCTATAAAAAGTATCGATAACAAAACCGATAAAAAAGTCCCGAGAATTCTGCGAATCATGTTTAGAGTACATTCATCATGTATACAAATGTTTTAAATAAAATTAATAAAAACAAACAACTACAAATTAATGATGTAACTTTGTTAAGGTACAATCTGTCTCATTTAGGTACATTTATTTTATGATATTAGCTACAATTTGAAATTTCCATTTTTCATCCCTGGTGTGGATGTATGTAATTTTCGTTGCTTGCTGCGTGAAGTTGGAAGGTCTTCTTTGGCCCAACCTGTATATACGGGCCACAAAATTGTTCTTGGTGCAATTTACATAAATGTGTCGACTAATATTAATAATAATAATGTATTTTAACCGAATATTTTCCAACGTGGAATCAGATCGAGGTAATAAATATTAGTACATACAGATGCGTTTTTCCATTCCCAACCATGCTCAGTTCTAATCGGTTTTACGATGATTGTTTTTAATCCTTTTTACAATGAAAAGAGATCTTTCAGTGCACTTCCTTGAAGTATCCTCTTAAATAATTGAACAAACCAAATAAACAAACACAATAGAGCTACCATTTGGAAAAAAGATATCCCTCATTTGGATGGAAGCATTTATAATATAAAAGTAAGAGCTGCAACACAAAAAAAAAAACAACAACAACAATCATCAATCGTCTATCAAGTAGATTCAGTGCACCCTTTTTTTGTAGCATTCAACGCACTTCCTGCTCATTTAAGAACAATCAATGTATGAAAACATTAATGATGCATTTTGCATGCTTGTTTGCCACATTGTGGCAACTAACAACTCATCAACTCACAGGATTGCAGCCTGTTGCAAGCCAGCCGCTTATGCGAGTATTGTGGCAAAAGATGAGGAAAAATCAAATAAGCAAATAAACAAGCCAACGATTAAAGCGTAAACAAAAGGCAATCAAATTGAAGTGGATGTTGGCGCAGATGAGAACAGGCTGTTGAGAGTGTGTAGGGAAGAAAGCAGCAAAACAATAAAAAAGCAAATACATATGATTGTGTGCTAGAAATGTTTACATGAGCATAAATATGGTTAAAATTGTATGTGTGCATATAAAAATATGTATGTATGTACGAGTATGTGTATATATCTTTTACGTACATATGTAAATACGCAGCAGCGAAGTCGCACCGCATGCAAACATGCGCCACAACAAGTGTGCGTGCGAGAAGAAGAGTAAGTAGCAAGAATGCAGCAGCAATTCAGCCGGCCATAACTACGGTGACCATATTAACGAACGTAAAATAAAGGAAATTTTTCCCAATGATTTAAGAATACGAACATACAACTTCTATGATGGTAATTTAGATCAAATATTTGCCAGTTAATTATATTATTAAATTGTACAAGTTGCTCTTCTCGAAAGGCTCTGTAACCGGATTTTAACCGATTCCGAAAAATGAAACCAAGTCCTTATCAAGGACTTCGCCATCCTTTGCTGCCACAATGCGTTTATCATAATTGAGCGGAGGTTTATTGTTATTTTTCAGTGGATCTGAAAATTTAGCGTGCAACACGATCCTGGGAACAACTTTCCCTATACTTTTGCCAACAATAAATTTGACTCAAAGTATTTTAATTTTTCTGGAAAAATGTGTAAATATTAGTAAATATTTTTTTTTTCAATTACATAAATTTCCGCTTATCAGTATTATCAAGGATTCGTGACCCTTAAGTGGGGTGCGAAGCAAACTGACGAAGGTTTTCATTCTGTGTTATTATGGACATTTTTATTTTTTCATATTCTATGTTTAAAAATTGACCTCTGCAAAATCCTAAGCTAATTTAAAGGACAGTTTAAGAAATAAAGGGCAAATGGCGTCCTTTATTTTGACAAAAAATTTAAAGGACAGGGGGTTAAAATAAAGGACTGTCCTTTAAAATAAAGGACGGATGGTCACCGTAGCCATAACACATGCGGCCAAATGGCGAAAAACGACAACAGCAACAATTTTTTATATCATTGCACAAAAGTCTTTTAAATTACAAACAACTGTTTATTGAAAAAACTGCGCGCTGATTCATTTATTTGCAAATACATACATAAATAAGCTTTTGAAATGTCAAACTGCTTTCCATGGCATACGTGAAAAAACAACGTGAGATGCGATGGTCCAAAAAGCATCGAGAAATTCTCCGAACTTTGAAAAATAAATTGATATCTATATATTCGTATATCGGGATATCTGTCCGCATATTTGTGTATACGGATAAAGTCCGTATATCCGACTAATATCCCTTATCTTTCCTTATTCGGATATCCGGTTAATATCTGTTAATTTTGCCATCCCGATATCCGGTTAATATTCGATCATTTTGTCAAATATAGGGCCCGCAGATCAAGTGAGACCTAATAATAACATGAATAATACATTATATTTAGGTAATTACAACTTGGAGGTAGGTATAAAGCGACAAGGGTTAATTACCTGACAAAAACTATGAAAAAAGGAAGAGTGGATACTCGCCAGCGGCTACACCCCTACTGTGGAGGGAGAAATCCACAGTGGTTTAAGTAATAATGCCACTAACAGAGGTCAAAGCTCTAGAATACTCGGACCAGTGAAGCGCGGTTAGCCTGGGCACCAACGCCCTCCGGCTAAATCGGAGAATGCTCTTCAAGAACGGAGGAGGAGACCGAGAACAAGGCCAAGAAAGGAGGGATCGAAGGTTAAGGCGCGATATATGACTGCGGTCAAGATCTGTGACCGACTTGGTGAGAAGCCCAAATGTACGGATGAGGAGGAGGAGGAGGAGGAGGAGGAGGAGAAAATATTGATTTGGGCTAGGGAGGAAGCGGCCAACTTTACTACGCCGCTAAAAAAAAGTTCTCAGCTACGAAAAGGCTACGAAGCCAAACTTCCTACTGTTCCCCTCAACATCCAAAGCGACATCGGTTCTTGGCACCCATCGACCGCAGTATTCCGCTTGGATATATTATGCATTAAAGGTGGAAAGAAGTGGAAACGAAGTTGCTAGAAGCTCTATTCGAAACAGTGGAAGCGGCGCCCAACGCACTTATGCCTATCTTTGATTAGGCTGGGCTGTTCACTAGCGTCAAAAATATGAGCGGTAAAGATGATCCCTCCTTAGCATAGGTAAAATGAGCAGATCTCAGCGAAAAGCTGTCAATGGCGCAAGCAAAGGAGCACTTTCCTCGCGAGGTGAAACCGTCTACCATAAAGACTCAACCCTGACATACCGACGGCTGACTGGAGGATGCTTACGGTGCATATCCTGGTTGCTGCTCATCCACACAAAGGAATATCCCTAACGTGGACAGGTGCAGAAAGTTTCGTGAGCAGTAGACAAGCAAAAACCTTATACCATATTTTCTGCCTATGTCATGCACTGTCTAAAAATCGAGCTCCAGCTGGTAACGCTAAGGTCCTACCTTTTTCATAGGATAATTGCAGTTGGAGGTTTCCATTTCCAGATGAAGCGCAACGCTGCTAGAAAAAGCTTTTTTAAATCTTTGCTTCGGTTAGAAGTAAATGCAAACATCGATGTAATGAAAGGGCGACACCCTCTTTGGGCTCTAGTTCCAAACGAA